TTAGATGGGGTGGGTGTGGGGGGGGGGGAGGGGGGAAGAAAAAAAAATTATGTCACAACTTGTCGGGTTTCTTGAAACATCAACTCTAAAAAGATAAATATTTCATGCTTTGTCCTACACTACCAATTAATAGCCTTTTTGTGAATGAAATTCCAGTGAAGGTGTCCTGCATGGGCAAAGCTGGATGCGTAGATGCTAATGTATAATTTCCTTACTCTTATTACATGATAGTTGGAAAGCAGCTGTGGTCAGTGAAACTTAAGGATATAAAAAGTTACCAAAACAATTGAACTATTTAAAAAGCTCTTCTTTGGCCATGTAGTTTTTTTTTAAACCCACGCAAACAAATCATATGTCCAGTATCATAAATTTTCACACCTAAAAAAAAATGAAAATGAAAATAAAAATAAAGCTGTTCATTTTAGAATGACACTCTCAAAAGGACAGAACATTTGATCTGCCTGCGATCAAAGAGCCAATAAATTTAAATGTCTAGACCAGAAGTACTTGTCATGTGCTTAAACTCTGCACCCTAACTGTCAGAAAATCCTGAAGGCTAATGTGCTTTTTCTTAAAGAACTGGAGTTACCAACATTGGAAATTCAAAACACTCAGTGTCCAAATCTCTCCATAGCTGCATTCTTTTCTGTCCATGTAATGCTGTGCAGCCCAATAGCCATTCAAACCCAGCCCCTTGCATGACCAGAGTATATGGTCACCCCTAATATAATTGACGCAGCAATTGTTTGGGTTGTAATATTTGGAATTTGATTGCCAAATACCTACACTTTTTTCCCCTTTTCCAAAAATTCTTTTTGAAAGGTCACTCTTCAGGCAAGCTTTTATTTCCTAAAACTAGCTGAATTATCATTCTTAATCAGATTAACTTCTGTGAAGCTACTTGCAATATTTTATTATATTAAAAGATTCTGTATAAACTTAGTAGAAGGCAGGACTGCAACCATTTAAAAACCTTTATAGGCCACAAGAAGAGTAATTCTGGTACTGTTATAAAGGGTGGAAACCTAATGATAGGCATTTCAAAAATGGAGTTGCAAGGAAGAGGAGGTCAGGTTTTGGAGGTGACAACACATTCAAAGACTATGAATCGGAAAAAGGGATTTGATATGGATCTATGTTTTACAAAGACAGAGTGGCCAAGGGCCGATTTTGTTTTTGAGAAGGGTGATGATGGCAGATTCACAGGGGAGGAAGGCAGTACATGAAATGAAAACACCTATCCACTCCTGAGAAAAACAGGAAGTTACAAGGTTAGCAATTTAGCTTATTCATTTCTTTATTCATTCACGGGATGAAGGCATCGCTGGCTAGGCAGCATTTATTGCCCATCCCTAATTGCCCAGTGGGCAGTTAAGAGTCAACCACATTGCTGTGGGTCTGGAGTCATGCATAGGCCAGACCGGGTAAGGATGGCATTTTCCTTCCCTAAAGGACATTAGTGAACCAGATGGGTTTTTCCGACAATTGACAATGGATTCACGGTCATCATTAGATTCTTAATTCCAGATATTTATTGAATTCAAATTCCATTGGCAGGATTCGAACCTAGGAGCCAGACAATTATCTGGGTCTCTGGATTAACAGTCCAGCGATAATACCACTAGGCCATCGCCTCCCAGTAGTAAATGCAGAATTAAGGGAGCAGGGTGTGGATTGCATAGCCAAGATGACGGCCTGAGGAACGACAAGCAAAAAGCTAGAAAAGAACCCATATATAGGGTCTGAAACTAGTCTGAGTGTGGCGGGGCTCCTTTGGGCTTGGAGAAGAGAAGCAGCATAGGCAGCTGATCACATTGTCTCAATCTTAGAAATAAAAATTAAAATCGGTAAACACCTCACACTTGTTCTTGGAGGCAAGGATGAAGGAAACGGTATAGGGTGGTAAGCTGACCATTTACTATGAAAATGCCCCTTAGGAACAAGTGATGAGGGCAGTATCAGGGGTAGCACTACAGTGAGAAAGCAATGGTTTTCACGGGGGCCGCAGAATGAAAGTGGAGAAGTGGTTGAGGAAATCATTAACTGCAGAAGTGAATGGAAAGCAAAGGTTGCATAGGTGGAATTTCTCCAAAGATCAGGTCTAAATGCAATGGGAAGATGGTATGGTGGCAATGTTACTAGATTTGTGATCTCAAGGCCCAGGGTGATGTTGAGGTTGGTTGGCTCGCTGAGCTGATTTGTTGTTCCGCAGACGTTTTGTTACCATGCTTGATAACATCCTCAGTGCAGCCTCCGATGAAGCGTCAGTGTGTTTTCCTGCCTGGTTTTTAAACTCTGGGGTCCGTTGCAATGGATTGCCTCACTTCCGGGTTTCCTCCGTAGTGGAATGTATACGGGGTCGAGTTCAATGTGTTTATTAATAATTACTATTATAATTATTAATAATTATAAATAATAGCCTGATAGGGTCTCGTCTGTGTGCCACTCTAGATCCACAGCAACATTGCTGAATCTTAATTGTTCCAACATCAAAGAATGAGAGTTCCTGGTCCTAAAATTTTAGTTCTGTTTGAGGAGTCTGGCTACAAGTTCAATGGCTATTTGCCTATGTAACAATCATAGCACTAAAAAAAAATCCATTCTTTATAGCATGCTTTGGATATCCTGTCTTCTTTTTCTTGGCTTACATGAGTTCTTCAAAAACCTCCAATTTGGTTGCAAAGGGCTGGATTTTCATATGTAAACAAGAACATGTTTAGTACTTTCCATAATTTGCATACAGGAGAGGTCCAGCAACTTGTTTAAACAAATCAAATAAATTTAAGGGGTTTTAGTTGGGTTTTTGAAAAATTTTAAAATGTAAAATGGGTTCATGCTGAAACAATTTTGTTTTAAAGCCTCCAAGTCAATTCTGTATGACAAATGTGATTTTCAGACTTAAATGTTTCAATGTATGTCACATAACTGCAATCTAATTTTCTCGAACTACATACAAGAATGCTTATTAATTGATTATTCAATTTTAAAAACACCATTTTTAAGTCTGTAATACCATTCATATCGAATAATGAATATTACTATATACAATTATCTAAAGAATAATTGATGCAAAAACTGGAAGCCATGCCCACAAGTTTCCAGCTTTGAAATCAAATTCTTACTTGAAGGTTTTAATTGGCAGATGGTTGGATTTGCTTCAAAATCAGCTGAGTGACACAGCTGATTGTGAAATCTATGTAAATATTGTTTACGCTCATGAAAATTTCTATATACACAGGTGGCACGGTGGATTAGCACTACTGCCTCACTGTGGGAGTGTGGAAAATTCCCAGATGAAAAAAAGGCTTTATAAATGACATTTGACATTTCCCCAAAATTTCTGCAGAGCTTCAAAGCTGTGATCACCAAGCAGGAAACCTCTGGGGAATCTCCAGTAATAGGTTGCTATAGTGAAATACTACACAATGCAGTTTTGGACTAGAAGGATTTAGTTAAAGGTAAAGTTAATGTTAATGTTAATAACTAGGTCAGTAGCGGTACAGTAAGGCACAATCAAATTCCTGCAGTTATTTGATCAACCTGTTCAGAAATATATCTGAGATATACGAGATATATCTGAAAAAAGGAACTTGAAGCTTGATCTTCTGGCCCAGACATAGTAGCAGAACAACGAAAAGTGCTGATGGATCATTCAATCGTGTTCGGCTCTGGAGGTCCCAAGCATCATAGATGCCAGTCTTCAACCAATTCAATTCACTCCACGTCGCATCAAGAAACAGTTGGAGGCACTGGATCCTGCGAAGACTAGGGACACTTACAACATTCTGGCTATAGAACCAAACTCCCAACAATGCAGAAAGAGGCCATTCAGTTCACTGAGTCTACACCTACCCTCCCAAGTTCTGCCAGGGCCACTTGGCTTCTGATCACATTAGGGCTTTGATCCAAACATGAAAGAAAGAGCTAAATTCCAGACTCGAGATTAGAGTGATTCCCCTTGACATTAAGGCAGCATTTGACCGAGTACGGTATCAATGAGCTCTGACAAAATTGGAGTAAACAGGAATGAAGGGGAAAACTCACCACTGATCAGAATCATACCTCACACAAAGGATGAAGGTTGTAACTGCTGGGAGGTCAACTGCCTCAGCCTTAGGACTTATTCTAAAACTAGCCTGTTCAGGCATGTGTTGTAATGTGCGGATTCAAAATGGGACTTGAATCCAAGTCTCTGGCCCAGAAGTAGGAACACTCCAAATGCACCACAAGAACAACCCCTTACTCTTCAGGGTAGTGTCTAGTGTCGTAGGCCTAATCATCTTCGGCTGCTTAAATGACTTTTCCTCAATAAAAGGTCAGAATGGGAATGTTTCATCATGATTGCACAATGATCAACAACATTTGTAACCCAACAGATACTGAAGAAGGCCGTGTCCATATGTAGCAAAACCAAGACAACATCCAGATTTGAGCTGATAAGAGGCATGTAACATTCCAACCACACAGGTGCTGAGCGATGACCATCTCCAAAAAGACAGAGAGAATCTAACCATCAACCATGACAGTCAATGTCATTACCATCAAATATCCCATTACGAACATCCTGAGGGTTACTGTTGACCAGAAACTGAACTCATCCAGCCGTAGGAATACTGTGGTCAGAAGCTAGACATTACGTGGTGGGGAACTCATCTCCCTTCTCCCCAGTGCCTGACCACATCTAGAAGGCATAAAACAGGTGTGTGATGAAATATTTTTCACTTGTTTGGATGCTTCAGCAACACAAAAAAACCCTCTACACATCCAGGTCAAAGTAACCCAACTGATACGCACCGCATTTACTCTCTACTTACAAGTTACACTGCAATAACTCACCAAAGGCTACTTTCAAAGCACTTTCTAAACTGTGACCATTGCCACTGAGAAGAACAAGGGCAACAGATTTATGACAACACCACTACCTGCAAGTTGCCCTCCAAGGCACAATGGGCTGACCTGAAATGATATCACTGTTCTTCCATGCTCTCTGGGTCAAAATCCCAGAGCTCCCCTCCCAACAGCACTGTGGGTGTCCCTACACCAAGGACCGCAACTGTTCAAGGCAGCTCATCACCAACCTTTCCACAGCAATTAGGATGGGCAAGAACTGCTGGCCTAAAATGCTAAAATGTTCAAGAACCAATGCCTACAGAGAGCTAGATGCTTTTTATTGAGATCTACTACATTTGTATTCTTGAATGAGTGTGTTATACCCAAGGTGGTATGTGATTTTCTGCAGAGATCACCATTTTCTTTGTGAGATAAATCTTAAGTAACATCTTCCTCTTGATTCATCTTACATGTCCATAAACAAAAATCTTTTCAGCCATTCAACTAATTCATCTTCAGCCTCCAATGAAGCAATTTAGTAAACACAGCTATCAGAAAGGGAACCTTACATTTCACTGCAGCACTAAGTAGGCAACAATTCTCTCTTTGGAATCGGCTTTCACTTATGACAAGATGGCAACTTGACACGAGTGGAGTACCACAGATCAGTGCTCAGACCATATTATGTACAATACATATATCAATGACTTGGATGAAGAAAGTGAATTACTGCTGCCAAGTTTGCGAGTGACAAAAATTGTATGGGAAGGCAAGTGGTTAGGATGACAAAACTTCTGCGGAGGGATTATAGGTGGTTAAGCAGGAAAAACTTGGCAGATGGGGAATATGGGGAAACCTGAGCTTATGCACTTCGGCAAAACCAAGAGAGGAAATGGAGCAAAACTGTAGAAAGCTACAGAACAACAGGATTTGGGAATCCTCATCCATGAATCACAAAAAGCTAGCATCCATGTTCAACAGGGACTGGTGAAGTCAAATACAATGTTGGCCTTTATTTTGAAGGGGATGGAGCATAAAAGTTGTGAGATTTTGCTAAAACTATACAAGGCACTAGTTAGACTACAGCTGGAACGCTGTGTATAATACTTATCTAAGGAAAGGCATACTCACATTGGAAGAAGCCCAGACAAGGTTCACTAGACTATACTAGATATGTAGAGATCATCTTAAAAAGGAGATATTGAGTAGGTAGGCCTGTACTCATTGGAATTTACAAAAATGAAAGGCAGCCTTGTTGAAATATACAAGGCTGTTAGGGACTAGGCAGGGTAGATGCGGAAAGGTGGTTTCCCCTGGTGGGAAAGTTTAGGACCAAAGGACATAACCTCAGAATAAGGGACCGCACATTTAAAAACAGAGGAGGAAGGATTTCTTCTCTCACAGAGCAGTGGACCTGTCGAATTCTTTACCGTAGAAGGCAGAGCAGACTTGATGCGCTGAACAGCCGAGTTCTGCTCCTACGTCTTACTGTCTATAGCTTTTTTTGGCAATTTCACTGATTAAAGAAACTTAAAAACTTATCTGCCTTCAATTCTACACATTTACTGTAAATTGGTGGAATTTCATTCTATTTTCTGAACCAGTCACGATAACATAAGTAGTATCAAAACAAAGTTGCTGGAAAAGCTGAGCAGGTCTGGCAGCATCTGTGAAGGAAAAAACAGAGTTAACGTTTCGGGTCCGGTGACCCTTCCTCAGAACTACATAAGCAGTATAATCTTCATTATGAAAGGAAAGGAGTTAGAGGAGTCATCATGATCATTTTCTAACTTAGCATAATTATGCACGGTTTATTGAAGCAAGCATATTTTAAGACAGGACAGATTTCACAGGAGAAAACGTCTCGATAATTTTGAGTTAATCTACGAGTATGTTCCAAGACTAACATTTAACCCAAAAACAAAAGATTTCCTGAACAGAGATGTGACAAACGATATTCTCAAGACTCAGTCCTACCAAGAGCACACAACTAACTGCTGCTTATACATCCAGTTCATACTGTGGGTTCATCTTCTGTAAATTTAAGAAAGCTGAAAGTTTGCACCCGAGTGCCCGAAAAGAATGTAAGAAATAGGAGCATGAGTAGGTCCAATCATGCCATTCAGTAGAATGATGTCTGGTCTTTACCTCAAATCCACTTTCCCATCCTATTCTCAAGTCTCTTGATTCTCATGGGAATAGCTGAGGATCCATAAAATGGGTGCCAATGCCAAACTGGGTAATGCTAGCTAACATTCAGCTATTTAAAAAAATTAAAATTGACATGATAATTGGCTAGTTCTCCAAGCCTATAGGTTTAATGCTTTAACATCACAGGAAGAACCAATTAATATGACATTCATATATTTAAATTTTAAACTGAAACCTTTTCTCATTAAGTATTTCTTTGCATTTTTTAGGGATACAGACAAAAAGTAAATTACTATCCAAGTATCAAATTCTAATGCCAAGGATAACAAGAGCAACAGGAACACGAAAAATAAATTCTGAAGACAATAGATGGAAGGTTTTGGAGAGACATTAGATATCTCCATGAATTCTAATGGATTCAATGCGAAGGAGATAATGATTCTTTTCATTTTTAAAAGGCTTTTCACTACCACGAATAATTCTAATGCACTTCAAGGTCAGTAAGTGACTTTTAAAAATTATTGCTTGTTGTCCTGCAGGCCAGTACAGCAGCCAACTTCCAAATAACACAGACCCAAAACAGACGTTCTGGCTCAATGATGCCAGTGCATTTTATCTGGAGTTTACAGCTTTTTCAGGTCTTCAGCAGTGTCAACAGATAAATGTTCACCAGCACAATGGCAAAATCTGCCTGCTTCTCTTTCAATCAGGCAATGGGGTGTTTTATGTCAAGCAGAGGAGGAAGACCACTACAAGAGGTCGGCAACATAGTAAATTCTGCTTCGAAGTACTCCTAATATGCAGGAAAGAAATGATTGTAAAAGGTCAGTACAAAACATCTACTTAGATAGACTTAGATACCTGATTTTCTGAGAATGGAAACTTGGGCTCAAGGGCACACAGTTGATCATAATACCTGAAAGAGAAGCAAATCAGTCAGGACAAAACAAATTTTACATGCTCAGTATATGTTCAGCTATTTTGAGATTTAATTGTTCCCAGCCTTTTCGAACAGTACAATGTTATCTTTTATGCTAAAAACTGCAGATGAGGCCTTGGTCTAAGGTTTATCCAAAACATCAGTTTAGGTGTATCCAAGACAGTTGGATAATGCCTTTAAATTGGAAGCCTAATATTGTTCAATTGTAACTTTATGCATTAGGACTTCACAGAAAGCTTCTCAAAGTAGCACTACTTGAAATTACAGAGTTAAAAAAAAAGCCCAAATGTAACAGACAGTGCTTCAAGCAATTCACAGAAATCTAAAGTATTCAGGTAATGTTGTCTTTGTTTGATTGCAGCCACACACAGATGAATACAGCAAGATGTTTCGCAACTATCATAATCCAAATTAACGCTAGCTCCAAATTAATGTTAGCTACAAATTAATTGTTCAATATTTTCATTGCCATTCATTAATTACAGAAGAAATAACCCTGCAATAGAATCCTTGGTATGAAAGCTCATATCTTTTCCGTCAGACCCTAACTGAAAGGGACACTTCAGGTTTTAAGTGAAACAATGACTCAGATCATCCAGTGGTGTCTGTACAATAGGAGCTCACAACAAATGTAAAGGTTGCTGCAGCTGTGTGTGACTGTCCAGAACCACACAAAGATGTGCTGGTAAATCTATGCCATCAAGAATCTGACTAGCATAGCTGAGGAGGTTCCAGATAACTGCTTCTGGTTAAGACTTAGTCCACAGAACTTTGTGTTTGGGAGCTGCTCATCAGACGAAAATCTGTAGCTAAAATCAAAGAAAAGGATTTAGAATTCCAACTGAATAATTTCAGAGCTCTGAAGCAATATAACTGCTCAGGAAACTCTGTTTGAGATACAATATTTATTCTTCAAATCTGACTAGTTCCAGGTATAATAAAATCTCTGCACACAGTTTGATCAGGCTGAACAAAAAACTATAAATTGGTGGTGTGTACAAAACTCAAAGATATACAAAACATATTTAGAGATTTATGGTGTGATGTTCTACATCGACTAGGTTGCAAGATAAGTGAAGACATGTTGATGGAGAAAAGATGACAAAAATTTATTCCCAAAGAATCAGAGATATAATTCAGTTAGGGTCTAGGCCCGAAACGTCAGCCTTCCTGCTCCTCTGATGCTGTTTGGCCTGCTGCGTTCATCCAGTTCTGCACCTTGTTATCTCAGTTATTGTGCCTGTTTTTGAACCATCGAACACAGGAACTGCTTTGAACAAGAGCGTTGAGTGTTACAATTCCCATGAAGACCAACAAAAGAGAACAAATTTATCAAAGACCCCATGAGAACAAAGTTTCACTTTTTATTGTTTGTGTGTGAGCAATCAAACCAACATCAATATAAATAGCCAGGAATCAAGAGGTAAATTGCTGTTGACATTAAGTGTAAATTACACTTGAAGAATAACACCTACAACCAAAGCACATCTCAGACTTGACCAGACTGTCCACTCAGTATACATGGCACTAAACTTCAGTTACAGTAAGACCCCACGGCCAGAAGAAACAGGAATAGGAGTAGGCCTTTAGCTTACTCCAGCATTCAATAGGATCATGTCTGATCTGAAATTTCTCATATCCACTTTCCTGCATTATCCCCACAAATTTTTGATCAGAGAGGTGATCAAAGATATCTATCTCAGCCTTAAACATACATAATAACTGCCTCCACAGCTCTGTGCTAAGGAGTTCCAAAGTCTCTCAATCCTCAGAAGAAATTCCTCCCAATTTCTGCCTTTATTCTAAGACTATGCTCTCTGGTCCTAGACTCTAGAATGAGGGGAAACATCCTCTCAGCATTTACCGTCTCAAGCCCTCAAAGTATCTTATGGGTTTCCTATAGGCTCTCGAATCTTCTAAATTCCAGTGAGTAGAGCCCCAATCTATTTAGCCTTTGCTCAAAAAAAAACCCTCCATACCAGGAATCATCCTTGCGAACCTTCTCAGAATTGCCTCAAATGAAATGACTACTTTCCTTAAAAAGGGGGCCAAAACCGCTCAGTACTCCAGATGTGGTCTCACCAGCCTATTGTACAGTTGCAATAAGACTTCTCTACTCAAACTCCAACCCTTCTGAAATAAGGGCAAACATTCCATTAGTCTTCCTGATTACATGCTACACCCATGTACTAGCTTTGTGTTTCACACACAAGTATCCCAAGTCACACTGTGTTGCAGCTTTCTGTAGGTTTTCTCCTTTTAAATACTATTCTTTTGTTCTCTTTTTCCAAAAAGAACGACTTCACATTTTCTTATATTGTGCTTGTTTTGCCAACTTTGTCAATTTACCTAACCTATCAATACCTCTATGTAAACTGTTTGCATCCCTCTCAAATCTGCTACTTATTGTGTCATCTTCAAATTTGGTTACAGCACATTTGAATTCTTTCCTCCAAGTCATTAAATTGTAAACAGTTGCAGCCCCATACTAATCCCACTGATCACATGTAACCAACCTGAAAGACAGCCCCTCATCTCCACTTGCTGTTTCCTCCCAATTAGCCACTTAATGGGCCTCCTGATCCAGTGGCATGGACATCAGCGGTGCACCACCGAACTTAGCTCTTAGTACCTAATGCACTTTATTAACCGCTTTGTTAATCTATCCTGTCATTTTCAAATATTTGCACCTAAGAACCCAAGACATCTCCTCCAGCATCTTCCCTTTAAAGTTTTACCATTTATTTACTCTTTGCATTCTTTCTTCCTGAATACATCACGTAAGTATTTTGAAATTCATATCTCCCTATTCCATCAGCCTAAGTCCTATTCAAAAGGATTCTAATCATACTCGCTAGTGTACTCTCTCCCAGGGTTTCATATTATGTGAATTTTGAAATTGCTCCTATTCCTCAAGTCCAAATATTAAGGCAAATTAAAAACAGTGAATTTTCAGTGCATTAACTACTATGTAACTTCCCTACCATCAGGAAAACAGCCAGTACAACTTTCCATTTTCTATCTGTCAGAAAATTTAGTATTCATACCATTGCAGCCCCTCGTATCCCATAGCTTTCAATTTTACTATTTGGCTCTTGATCAAACACCTTTTGATAGTCCATGTTATTATATCAAGACTCTGTGGACGCAACCCACAGAAATATGTAAGTAAAACATTTTACAAAGATACCACAGGTGTAGGAGAAATTAACAAATTGCACTGCTTAAGTGGTTGATTTAATTGAAGAAATATTAATGCTAAAATTTTCAGTAACCTTTTAGAATCTCAAGTGTGTCTATTCCATTAAGGTAGAAAACAAAATAAATCCATTTTCTTGACACAAGAGTAACACAGTTCAATTCTTAAGGTTAAATATGAACTAAAATCATTTTTACACAATGTTTGAAATTCAAGTTTACATAGCTTAATTTGACACAATCAACAGTGATGCAAGTACACCAACTAAAGTCAACAGCATTTTGTTTTGACATATGGAAGAAAGAAATTTACTTTTTTGACTTTAATGTTCCACTTGATGAGTACTTTATGGATTCCAAAGGGCTTTCAGATACTTCTGGTTGTAAAAGAGTTTACACAAATCTAATTCCCTCTCCCTCTCAACCTCAAAGGGTTTTCTTTTCCCTGTGATAATGTTTTCTTACTATTTATTTCTGTTCACTCTGATTCTGCGCTTCCTTTCTCATTCCAAATCCATTACTTTCCCACTGACTATCATATTTACTTAAAACCATATTAAATTTCTCTATTCACTGTACCACTGGCATATTGGAGACATGTTGAGTTCTGTGAAGATTGTTCTTCAACATTGTTGTGCCCCATTACAGAAATCTCTATTCCAAGGAACAAAGACACCTTGTCTTTTACACAAAATCTCCAGCATTTTATTTTTCAGATTTGTGCACAACCCCTTAAGCTCCCTCTAGGGCTTCAAATGTATTTCTTTGTAAGTGATTGAGTTAAACAGAGTTTGACATCTGACTGATCTGCCTTCCCTTTCTGCAAGCTGTTTTACACTTTCTGTAACAAACTAAATTATATGCATAATGCTGTTGGCTGTTTTAGCACGTTCAGAACAACTGAAAGTTACTACGACAAAAATATGTATTTTGTTAAATTTCCATTCAGTCCTTTTTGTCAGGAAGAAGCTTTGCCGAGTTTAATGAAATATCTGAAATGCCTGCCAGTACTTATCCACCGACTTTCCCCGCCTGTTTCAGGCAGCTTTTTTTTTAAACAAACGTCTAATTGCCCATATTTAAGTTTGAGGGCAACGGTTTAAGACCAAGGGTTTGTTCAAGAAATAGTAGGGATACAGGAAAATCTAAAAATAGAGACATCTACAAGTACATGTCTACAGGTCCTTGAAGGTAGCACTTTTCATCACTATTTTGGGACAGAATATAACAGCAAAAATGCTATGCTACAATGTCAAAACTAGAACACAATACATTACAGGAAGGGTGCAACTGCACCATGGAGATACAGTGGAGTCACAGGGATTTTGTTTTTCCAGGAACACATACTTAACCGTAGGGAAAGCTTAAATCCAAGGTCTTCATATTTGGCAGCCGGAGGGAGGTGCATAAAATTATAAAATACAGCGGCACGGTGGCTCAACGATTAGCACTGCTGCCTCACAGCACCAGAGACCCAGGTTCAATTCCAGCCTTGGGTGCTGGTGTGTGGAGTTTGCATGTTGCCCCGGTGTCTGTGTGGGTTTCTGCCAGGTGCTCCAGTTTCCTCTCAGTCCAAAGTTGTGCAGGTTAAGTAGATTGGTCATGCTAAATTGCTCCACAGAGTCTAAGGATATGTGACAACAAGGTGCAGGGCTGGATGAACACAGCAGGCCAAGCAGCATCATAGGAGCAGAGAGGCTGACGTTTCGGGCCTCGACCCTTCAGA